AAATCTGGTACAATTTTGGGCAAAGCACACAGCAAGAAGTGTTCTAAGTTTTAAACAAAAGTCACGATACAAAATTCTATTTATGGTATAATGTTAAGTATGTTAGAGAAAGAGAGGAAAGACCTAGAAGAAATGGAAGGAAATACAAATACACCAAAACGTTAAGACATTTGGGAACAATGGACCGACACAGGATTTTCCTAAACTCCCTTCATTCTTTCTTTACTCTTTAAAATATATTTTTAACATCCTTAGATTGTTAGAAATCTCATGTAATTTAACAAACACATGATAGAACACGAGGCAGGTTTTGATTTCGGAGGGTTATTGACTTGTTTGTTTGATAAACAGAAGATGAAATTAATAAGTATTAGTTGCAAAATTTGCAAAATCGAGTTTGCCCTGGGTCATACAAAGAAATTGTGTAAACACGCTCAAGACAGTCAAAGCAACAGACAAAAAAATGCAATCTTGATTTTTGTTTTCTTACCCATTCTTCCTTCTAGCTTCACTGTCCTACTAAACGCCTTCCTTGGAGGATTCTAATCAGGATACAGAATAAAACCCAAACTCTTGATTTCTTTCAGAGAACACTTAAATAGCGCTCCTATATGCCATGCGTTACTCCAAGCATCTTACAAATGTTAATTCATTTCCTCTAAGTAAGTCTTCAGGCTGGCATTCAAGCACTCCCCACTTGGTTTCCACTCCCAGCCCTCTCCCACTGCTCCAAACGCCCTGTGACAGCGTCACCATTCCACTCTGGTTGCCTAAAATACACTCACTGGCACCACTCATCCTCATTCTTTCATTCCCCATTTTTTTTTAAATATTTATTTATTATTTTTGAGAGTCAGAGCATGAGTGGGGGGGGGGAGGGGCAGAGAGAGAGGGAGACCCAGAATCCAAAGCAGGCTCCAGGCTCTGAGCTGTCAGCACAGAGCCCCATGCGGGGCTGAAACTCTCGAGCCGTGAGATCATGACCCGAGCCGAAGTCGGACACCCAACCGACTGAGCCACCCAGGCGCCCCATCATCCGATCAGTTCTTTCTGAGACACTGTCCCCACCTGTTCCCCAAAATCCACTTGTCAAAGGCCAAAGCAGGCTCATATCCTACCTTCATCAAACCTTCCCAAACCCTCCTGGCTCAGATCTGGGCTCCTCCCTATTACTCTTCATAGAACTAGAAGTACAAGGGATTTCCAAAGAACATAATCTCAGGAAATAAATCTAGTTACTAGAGTTTACATCACTTTTCTCTATATTCCTTTCTATACACTGACTGACTCAGTGTTGTTCTGCATAACAAATGCTGCTCAGTATGTAAATGTCACATGTATTCAATCTGCAGACAGACCTAAAAGAGCAACTTTCAATACTGTGCATAGAACATGTCACCCCACATCATTTGTTTACTATCAAAATTGTATACAAATGGTCACAACAGAAAATTATTTTATAAACTTTTTAAGCATTTTCTGTGTGAAGTGCTGTGACTAAAAATTTTACGTGCATTATAACCCAGAATATTCCCCAAAAACTATCCCATAAGAGGAAGACTCACCTTACATTCAAGTCATCATAAAGTTCTCCTATTATGCAGTACTATCTTTTTTTTTTTTTTTTTTTGAAAAATAATATACTGTTTGGGGAAGACACATTGATCTGAACTAATTCAATCATGCTAGCCTAGAGATCATCTGATAAAATCTATTTTTCAAAATGGGACCAGGAGACAAAGAAATTTAACATAGATGTTTTAATTATTCCTGGGGCATGACTTCACAATTGCTACTGCAGGAAAATTTGTAAATAAACTTTATAAAGATCACTTTAACACACAAAAAGCAACATAGTTGTTACGTTGAGAAACAAGTATACCACCAGAGAAAGTTCTGAGAATTGGTAGTCAAGGCTGGATATAAATCTTCCAATGCCATATCACATGTGATGCACAGCAACATCTCAGGAAAGCAAAGAAGATGTGCTGTGGAAAACTGTTTAGAAAACAGACTCAAGGGGCGCCTGAGTGGCTCAGTTGGTTAAGCATCCAACCTTTGGTTTTGGCTCGAGTCATGATCTCACGGTTCATGGGATCGAGTCCCCATGTCAGGCTCCTTGCTGACAGCACAGAGCCTGCATGGGATTTTCTCTTTCCCTCTCTCTCTGCTTCTACCCCATTCACTCTTTCTGTCTCTTTCTCTCAAAATAAATCAATTAATTTAGTAAAAATAATAAAGTCTCGAGGCACCTGGGTGGCTCAGTCAGTTAAGTGTCCGACTTTGGCTCAGGTCATGATCTCACAGTTTGTGAGTTCAAACCCCACGTCAGACTCTGTGTTAATAGCTCAGAGCCTGGAGCCTGCTTCAGATTCTGTGTCTCCTTCTCTCTCTGCCCCTCCCCTGCTCGCACCCTGTCTCTCTCTCTAAAATAAAGAAACATTTTTTTTAATTTTTTTGAATGTTTATTTATTTTTTGAGACAGAGAGAGACAAAGCATGAACAGGGGAGGGTCAGAGAGAGGGAGACACAGAATCTGAAACAGGCTCCAGGCTCTGAGCTGTCAGCACAGAGCCCGACGTGGGCCTCAAATTCACAGACAGCGAGATCATGACGTGAGCCAAAGTCGGCCGCTTAACTGACTGAGCCACCCAGGCGCCCCTAAAATAAATATTTTTAAAAATATTTTTAAATAATAATAAAGTCTCATTCGTTAAAGAAAAAAAAAAGAGACTCTCAAAACATCACTCTACTGAAGGCAGACACTGGAGTCAGAGATACTTTTTTTTTCCCAATGTTTATTTCTGAGAGAGACCGTGTGAGCAGGGAAGGGGCAGAGAGAGAGGGAGACATAATCTGAGCTGTCAGCACAGAGCCCGATGCAGGGCTCGAACTTGTGAACTGTGAGATCGTGACCTGAGCCGAGATCAAGAGTCAAATGTTTAACCGACTGAGCTACCCGGGAGCCCTGAAACACTTGTTAAGAGTTTCAACAGAAATGGCTTTTTTTGAAAAAATGTGAAAGAAATATTTCAGTAATGTGTTAGATATGCCTATTTAAGATCACATTGTATACATAACTATAATACTTTATTATGGATCATGTAAACATTATACATCAAACTGACCCCAGAAAGAACTGTTTTCATCTTCTCATTGGAAATAAGGAGACTCGACTTCCATGGCAGTGACCTCAGGTGTGAACACGGACGGTTCTCTTCACAAGCACCCGGTGCCCTGGCTATTACGTCAACTGTACGGATGAGGAAGCGCAGCTTTGACCTGGAGAGACTCACAAGGTCACACAGCTGCTCAGTGCGGAGTCCACTTGACTTACAGTGTGTGTCCTCAACCACCACCTCCACGGCAGGAAGCTCCCACAGGCCTTTCGTGTCAGAAGCCACAAAATGTAAATTGATTCTCCTCCTCCGTAGGATCAGCATAAAAAGCACATACTTTCCTTAGAAACGAGATGTGCGTCAAGAACCTTCTCTGCTGAGCCCACACCGTGCTCCTCAGACGGTGAATCCCCCACCCTCACGGCACCCAGCATCGCAGTAAGGGTGGAACAGACAGCACTCGAAAGCTCCTTAAAGGACCCCTCTGATCCCATGTAAGACTCCCCAGTTTAATACAACCTTCACCAAATGAGAGACAGAGATGAAAATACTCAAAAGAGATACGGAATTGGCAAATAGTGCTCTTCCTATGTTCCGTTTGACACTCATTTGTAGTTTTTTTAATGTTTATTTATTTATTTTGAGAGAGGGAGAGAGAATCCCAAGCTGACAGCACAGAGCCTGACACAGTACTTAAATTCATGAACCATGAGATCATGTCCGGAGCCGAGATCAAGAGTCAGATGCTTAGGGGCACCTGGGTGGCTCAGTGAGTTAAGCGTCCGACTTGACTTCAGCTCAGGTCATGAATTCGTACTTCATGGGTTGGAGCCCCCCCCACCAGGCTCTGGACTGACAGCTCAGAGCCTGGAGTCTGCTTCAGATTTTGTTTCTCCCTCTCTCTCTGTCCCTCCCCTGCTCACACTCTGTCTCTTTCGCTCAAAAATAAATAAACATTAAAAAAAACTAAAAAAAAAAAAAAGTCACTTAACTGACTGAACCACCCAGGCGCCCCAACACGCATTTGTTAAATGAAGTAGAAAAACTTTAGTGCTACAAAGATGGAGAACCTAGATTTCCTGTCTTTGACTTCAATCTCAAAAGTAGCAGCTGACCATAAAACACACTGTCTTTCTGGTCTGCTCCCAAATTCTCAGCTAGAATGTCGTTACAGAAACAAAATGCAATGTGCAACATGGAATAAATGGAAATGTGCCAGCCTCAGAACACATAATATCCAGGAGGGAGATCAGGAGTGATGCTAGTTTAGGTAAACCTGCTTAAACTTTACGGCACTAAGTGTAACATGTTTAAAAGACAAATTTATACATCGCGGTTCTTAAAGAGGTGCAGAAGCCGTCCACAGACACAGGAGCTCCAGGAGGGATGGGTCCTGACCCGGCAGGCACCAACCTGCCCGCACAGCCCCTGAGGCTGTCCCCAGCCTCGCCTGGAGCTTTCTCTGCTGTGTCAACAGTTCTTTCAGGAGTTCTTTTTAAAAGTGAAGTCGCTGGAAAAGCTAAATGCAAATATTACAAGAAATGAAAAGGTTTATTCTAGGTGATTTCTTTAAGCTTTTACTGTATTATGTATCAGAACAAGAATAGGATCTCTCATTCAGTAAGAACATAAAACAAAAAGAAACGTGTTAGCTGTCCAGAAAACCGTATTTCTGCTCAAAATTCTCCTCTGAACACAGGAGTTTGAAGAGAGACTGTATAGGAGATGTTTTGAAACAATGTTTCCTAGCACATAAAACAGAACCCCGACCTTCAGGTACATGATGCCCACACTTTGCCCTTTATCTTCCCCTGCTCTTCCAAGGGGACTGGAACACCATCCCAAGAGCTTACAGACCTGAGTGCAGGACCCTTAACTCACCTGAATGTGCAGGGCGCCCTCTACTGCCTCCTGGATGTTCAAACAGCCACTGATGAGTGACAGCTGGTCTTGGGCACCCAGAGAGCCTTTCAGAGAGCCCGACTGCTCCAGAAACGTCATCTCTTTTCTAGAAAGAAGAGTGACCCTGTGAGTATTCAAGAGCAAATTAAAGGCAACGGTAGGGCGCCTGGGTGGCTAAGTTGGTTAAGCATCTGTCGGAGTCTTGATTTGGGCTCAGGTCACGATCTCAAGGTTCATGGGATTCTTTCTCTCTCTCTCTCTCTCTCTGCCCTTACCCCGCTCACGCGCTCTCTCAAAATAAATAAACTTAAAAAAAATTAAGACAAAGGGGCGCCTGGGTGGCTCGGTCGGTTAAGCGTCCGACTTTGGCTCAAGGCATGATGTTGCGGTCCGTGAGTTCGAGCCCCACGATGGGCTTTGTGCTGATGGCTCAGAACCTGGAGCCTGCTTCCCATTCTGTGTCTCCCTCTCTCTGCCCCTTCCCTTTTCGCACTCTCTCTTGCTCGCTCTCAAAAATAAACATTTAAAAAATTTTTTTTAATTTTTTTTTTCAACGTTTATTTATTTTTGGGACAGAGAGAGACAGAGCATGAACGGGGGAGGGGCAGAGAGAGAGGGAGACACAGAATCGGAAACAGGCTCCAGGCTCTGAGCCATCAGCCCAGAGCCCGACGCGGGGCTCGAACTCACGGACCGCGAGATCGTGACCTGGCTGAAGTCGGACGCTTAACCGACCGCGCCACCCAGGCGCCCCTAAAATTTTTTTTTTTAATTAAAACAAAGGTAAACATCACTAACTAGTAGGGAAATGCAAATCAAAACCACAGTGGTCTACCCCTTCACACCCATTAGAATCTAAATAAGTAAACCAAGAGTTAGTGAGGACGTGGAGAAATTGAAACCCTGTGGAAATGTGAAAGGGCCAGCCACAGTGGCAGTTTGAGGACTTCTCAAAAAGCTAAAAACAAAACTACCAAATGATCCAGCAATTCCATTTCTGGTTCTGCGGGGCCCCCCCCCGCAAAATGAAAGCAGGTACTCAAACGCGCATTTGTGCACCCATGTTCCATGGTTTACACTAACCAAAAGATGGGAACCCAAAAAGTCCACACCTGGGTGAATGGATAAACAAATGTGGCGTGTGCATACAGCAGAATCCAATCAGTGCAATTCAGCCTTAAAACGGAAATCCTGTCACAGCAACCACAGGGACGGACCTTGAGGACGTCAGGCTAAGTGAAATACGCCAGTCACAAAAAGACGAATGCTGTATGATCCCACTTGTACGCGGTGCCCAGGACAGTCAAACTCACGGAGCAGAAGTAGAATGGAGGCTGCCAGGGCTGGGTGAGGGTGACCGTGGTTTCGGGGATACAGAGTTTCAGTTGTGCGAGATGGCCTTTTGGTGACAGACGGCTGCACAGTGAGAATGCGCTTAATATCGCTGAACTGTACAGTCAGAAATTATTAAGATAGTAGACTTTATGTTACGTACATTTCACAATTCTTTTTTTATTTTTATCTTTTTAAGAGATGGGGCGAGGCCAACAGGAGGTAAGACTGGACAGTAGTTCTCCGCCCGCTTCTTTCAGTCCTGAGGGACGGGGCTGAAAGAACGTATCTCATAATCAGGACCAGCTGGCTTCGTGGGGTGCGGCCTGGGTGTCACAGAGATGGGCGCTCAGAAGGGCCCTGGGCTGGGTCTGATGCCCTGCCATCACGGTCTCAAAATTCTTTTGTTTGTGTTTTTTTTGAGAGAGAGAGAGAGAGAGAGAGAGAGAGAGAGAGAGCACGAGTGAGCAAGGAGCAGGGAGGAGAAAGAGAATCCCATGAGGGACAGACAGAGAGGGAGAGGGAGAGACAGGAGCAGGGTTCACCCACAACGGGGCTCAAGCTTGCCTGAAGCAGGGCCTGAGCCTGCCCCGTGGGGGACTCAAACTCCCGAACGGAACCGTGAGACCGTGACCTGCAGCAAAGTCAGATGCTTCACAGACTGAGCCACCCAGGTGCCCCTCACTGTCTCAAAATTTTTAATGACTATCAAGCAAAGGGCCCCACATTTTCATTTAGCCTCATAAATTATGCAGTCAGTCCGGCTTATAATTCGTGATATATTAAACAAGACAGAGAACATATACAAACACACACACAGTAAGGAACAACATTTATGCTTTCCAATAACTTCTGTGGGTTCTTCCCAGTGAGTCAAACAATTTTTACATCGCTTCGTATCATGGTTTTTATCTTTACGCTGTCAGCGTCTTCAGCCAAAGAGCACCAGGAACACACGTACAGTGGGGCGGCTCAGGTTCGTTACTCACTGCAGTGAGGGAGAGTGCACACCAGGGGGAGCCGTGGGGTATCAGTAAGGGTGTCTGAGGGCACCGAGAGCAGATGCGAGCTTGGGTCGGGGGATTCGGAAGAGGATCTGAGGGCCTGAGTTCACTGGATTGGATGCTGTGAACTCAGCGAAGGCAACGTGAGGATTGAGTGTCTCCACAAACATAAATATCTGCAGGGCAGACTAAATGGAAGATAAAGGTGTAATGGGCAAAGAAGTGACAGTCGTTCATTTTAGCCAAGACTCAGCGTCTGTGGGTTTGCACGGTGCCCTCGTTCTTGTCTGTGCTTAGACAAATTTAAAACGGGGTCTTGCTGTGTCGCGTTCTCTCATGGTCTAACAGTGACCTTGTCTGACGTGGGTGTTCTTGAGACTCCTTATGTCCAACAGGAGAGTGCCACGGCCTACCCGTGAGGACCCGCCAGCTCCAGACGTCAGGGGCTGTGCTTCTGTTGTTTTGTCTTTTTTTCTTTCTTAAAGCTATGCACCTGTATTTTGTTTTAACTACAAATTGAGGACCAAATCGCTACTGTTACTGGGAGGAAAAAAAGATATGCTGAAATGCAAACAGATTTTATTTTAATTAACAAAAAGGAGCTTCCTGGCAAAGGTAAATGAGTCAACAAATGATCCGGCAGATTCAAAGTCTCTCCTTCTTCTGGGTCAGCAAACAGAAAAATGCCATGGCGGGCCATCACCACACCTGGGATCTGAACCCGAATCTGTTTCAAGGAGAGGGAGAATCTGAGATGACTGGCATACAGATAATTTGGAAGGTCTGTAATATACCAGCTTTAAAAAATCTACCTTAAGGGGCGGCTGGGTGGCGCAGTCGGTTAGGCGTCTGACTTCAGCTCAGGTCACGATCTCGCTATCCGTGAGTTCGAGCCCCGCGTCAGGCTCTGGGCTGATGGCTCAGAGCCTGGAGCCTGTTTCCGATTCTGTGTCTCCCTCTCTCTCTGGCCCTCCCCCGTTCATGCTCTGTCTCCCTCTGTCCCCAAAATAAATAAACGTTGAAAAAAAAAATCTACCTTAAAATTGGGCCAGAAAATGGCTACCTTATTCTGCAGGATCCTAAGGACACACGTGCAGAAGGCGCCCCTCGGAACAACTCAATGTTGGGAACCGAATAACCCGACCACCACCCCCAATTAGCAGGTATTCGAAAGTATTTCTACATGCAACACATTCCTTGAAGTAGAGGTTTATAAAGTTACTGAAAATATACAAGACAAGGTCTGTTTCTTAGTCAGTTCAAGAAATTTGTATTCGTTGTATAGAATAGCGCGTGGGGTCTTAGCAGCAGGTTAGAAATCTATGATTTGTAAGTTTGATAAGCTAACATCAAGAAAACGGACTTAAATGCCAGAAAATAGTACCTTACACGCCATCGAGGGAAACGTGTAAAGAGTTACCAGAAAAAGTTACCCTACTAAGATAAGGAAAAGCAAATATTTACCTGTTCTAGAGGCTCCTGTTCCTGTGACCATGTACCAGTACTGTCCCCAAACCTCCCTGAACACAGTCTGTGTTCTTCATTCAAACAACAACGGTGAGGAGAGCACCATGTGATCCAAAGATCATTTATTTTTCACTTCATGTTTTTGTTCCATTTTTCGGAAGTTTTAGAGTTACATAAGTCTGTAAATATACTAAAACCATTTACTGTATACTTTAGAAGAGTCAGGTGTGTGGTATATAAATTCTATCTCGATAAAGCTGATGTATTTGTTTCTTGTCGCTTCTGTGACAAATTACCACAAACTTAGTGGCTTAAACAATACAAATTTCTGACCCCTGGACTGTAAGGTAATAAATCTCAAGTAGACTAACATCCAAGTTCCACAAGGCTGCAAATCTCAAGTAGACTAACGTCGAAATATCAGCAAGGCTGAGTTCCTTCTGGAAGCTCTAGAAGTGAATCTGTTCCATGCGTCTTCTAGTTCCTAGAGCACCCCCCCCCCCCCTCTTCCCTTGGCTTTGTGGCCCTCTTCCATTTCACAGCCTGCAATCTCACTACCAACCTCTGCTCTGTCATCGCACCTCCTTCTTTGACTCTCCTGACTATTTTTTCCTAAGAACAAGCCTCGTGATTACACTGAACCAATCTGGATAATCTCCCACATGCATACCCTGAACTTAATCACATCTGGTCTCCTTTGCCACGTACGGTAACACATTCCCAGGTTCCAGGGATGAGGGCCTGGGAGAAGCAGTGTTCTGACTACCACACTTTTTAACAAAACAACAAAAACAGAAACAAACAAGGGGCACCTGGGTGACTCAGTCTGTTAAGCATCAGACTCTTGATTTTGGCTCAGGTCATGATCTCACGGTTTGTGGGTTCGAGCCCTGCATAGGGCTCTGCACTGACAGGGTGAAGCCTGCTTGGGATTCTCTGTCTCCTTCTCTCTCTGCCCCTCCTTTCTTGCTTTTTTTTTCTCTCTCTCTCTCTCAAAAATATATAAACTTAAAAAAAAACTTTTAGAATAGAGTATGTAATGTAGATAGAATTCCTGTACAATTACTGTCCAAAACTGTGCTTACAGAACAGAGAGCACTTGCCCATTAAAGCTGCCTCACATCAGATAACTAGGTTATGCTTGGCTCTCTGTACTTTGCAGACGTTATTCCACCATATTCAGAAATTCACTGGCTGTTGAAAAGCTGTTGTCAATCCGTCGTTCCTTCGTGGGCAGTCTCTCCTTTCACTCTCTCACTGCCTGTAAGACTTTTCTGATGTTCCTTGGTGTTTTACAGTTTCACTGTGAGGTATGTAGATATACCCTTCCTATTTCTCCTGCTTAGGACACTCTGTTCCTCCAGAATATGAGGGTCCATGTCTTCAACTGAAACGAAGTCTCAATCATTACATCTTCATAAATTGTTTTTCCGTATTCTCCTTAACCCTTTCAGACCTCTAAGGAGATCTATGTTAGACAGTCTCTCTGTATCCTCCACATTTCTTAACTACTCTTGTCACATATTACCTCTATCTCCGGAACCGCATGCCAGATAGTATCTTCAGATCTGACTTCCGGGTTACTATGCTCATAAAACCTCGTCTCTCGTGTGTTGGGGATTTTTAGTTGTGAGCAGATGTCCACTGAACCCTGCGGAAATTCTCTGAGCCTTTGTTTAAGGTACATTATCCTGGAGTTGGGACGTATTTGCTTCGGGCAGGCACTGAAGGCACCACTAACCAAGGGACCAATGTGAACTGTTGGGCTGGAATGTTTAAGTCCACACGGGAGGATGAATTCAGGCTCCGACTCTTAGAGAGCTTGTCTGTGGCTGTAAATCCTCAGAGAAACGCTTTCTCCCCTCCACCCAGAACCATGGCCAGGAGAGACAAGCCCCCACGTGTGGGTTAGTTTCCTACTCCTCTCAGCAGCAATGTAGACCTCTGGAAACCAGCTTCCCGTGGGGGTCTCCAATCTGATCCCCATCTTGCTCAGATGAAGGTTTGCTGTTAGAACCAAAGCAAGACTGGCAAGTAGCTTACTTAGAGCAGCCGTGACTCTCACATACCTCTTGGGATCTGTGCTCCCAATCTGGCCTCTGAGAATTGCCATTACTTTCTTGCCAGCTCAGCTATGCATTATAAACTATACATTTACTCAATACTTGTAAGTATTTTGAAGTGAAAAGGGTTTCTAGGATGCTTACGTTGCCGTATTGCCAGAAACTAAACCCTAGACTGTTTCTTTGAGATTTAATATTCTTAGGTATTAGGCACATTTTATATACTTCATGAGAAAGGAGAAACACTGACCACATCATTTCAGGAATAAGTTATTCAATGTGAATATGATCTCTACTATACACACAATTTATAACACATAATCACTGACTGATTACATCATGGTTCCTGTTCATATGTATAGAAAAGAAAAACAATACTGATGTTTTTGAGTTACCACTGCTAAGGCCTACTCTTCTGTTTCCCAGTTTTACCCATTTGGAAAACCATACACATGTTTATATTATTTATATACAAAATAGTATGTATATGTTATTAGAAAAATATTCTATATTTATACATATATAAGTAATACCTAAATCCACCTGAATCCAACAAGTTTAGGCTTAAAAATAACAATATACTTCTGAAACGCATCAAAACGCAAAGAACGTTTCTGTTTTATTTAATCTAGCTTATTCCGTCTGGTACTTCAGAAACTGAGGCCCAAACTGGCTACATCACTCAAAGACATAAAGTGCTAGCAGCATGCGGGATGGAAGCGGGTCTTCTGACTCCTTCTTGCAAAAGCACACAGAACAGGAGCCACTGCCTCTTCCTCACTCCTACTAGACCATGATGGCACGCACACACGCACACATACACACACACACACACACAACCCTGTCTGGTGGGAATTATTATTTGTAGAACTAATGGGCACAGTGCACTGGCTTAAATTTTGAAAATCGAAGGTCGACAATATACTGGAGAAAAAAGGAAGAGTTTGCATCCACTCCCTCCCTCGTGAATGCTGCTAACACCCGAGGCCCAGTCTGCTGAGCTTGAACTTAGACTACCGGGCTCCCATCGTCCCTTCAGGGAGCCCTGGTGTACCTAGCACACCTACCATCTCCTTCCAAGATGTCGTTACCAACAGGTGTGCCAGGCTGACCTACGGCCCGGCTCCAGAGTTCAGCCCACTGGGTGCCTGTGCCACCGGTACGTGACCCATCCATCAACTCATCTCTCATGGCGGTTTGAATGAAGACCCATGAAGTAAGTTGGTCAAAGGTCGGTGGAGCCCACAGTAGAGTCACTGCAATGGTGAGTTTTAGAAAGGCAGGACCGGGGCGCCTGGGTGGCGCAGTCGGTTAAGCGTCCGACTTCAGCCAGGTCACGATCTCGCGGTCCGTGAGTTCGAGCCCCGCGTCGGGCTCTGGGCTGATGGCTCAGAGCCTGGAGCCTGTTTCTGACTCTGTGTCTCCCTCTCTCTCTGCCCCTCGCCCGTTCATGCTCTGTCTCTCTCTGTCCCAAAAATAAATAAACGTTGAAAAAAAAAAATTTAGAAAGGCAGGACCTCAGACAAGGACCGGCTATGAAACAATCCTCCCCAGAACCGCTGAAAGTTACCAGAGCTGTTGTCTGACTGTCAGAAGCTCGGGTGTCCCTGAACAATGTCCCATTTCTGCAGCAGTGATGGAGCTGCAGAGACAGTTCCCAGTATCCCTTGCTTCCTTGAAGAGCCTTGCAATAAACATCCAGCAACAGATATAATCTGGATGCCTCAACCCTTATAAACTGAAAGGGCCTCGCGTCTATTTTGTTCAGAAATTTGACAGATAGGATGAAGAAAATTATACCATATCTAAACTGCTTGGTTTTAAACTATATGATTTATATAAATTAGACCTGCAGCAGTGGCTAAGCCTAGAAACCCATAACACTGATAAACATTAACTACGTTGCCCATAAATATAACCAGAATAAAAATGTTCATATCTCTGAAAAACTGTTTACAGCTAACAAACAAAAAAAAAAATCATTTCATTTAAATGTACTTGCTGTCACAGAGGAACAAGTGACAAATAAAATACAGTGCCCCTGTTCTTTTTCTGGAAAGACTTTCTTTCTGTAACTTATTTTTTAAAGTAAAAAAAAAAAGTGGAAAGAATAAACATCCCCACATTTCTGAGAATTAAAAACCACCAATCCTGACATATGTGCTTTTCATTTTTTAAGTAAACAAAACACTGAAGTTCTTTTATCCACCAACCTCTTCTGTTGAACTCAGATGGGATTTTTACATTCTAAACCCTGAAAACACAATGATTACCCATTTCATCATTTAGAGAATTATGTTTGAGAGGCTCACGTGCTCAAAAGCACCTGCTTTAAGCATGAGTAAGCCAAAGCAAACTTCGGTCCTTTCTTCCCAATGTGCGGAGTCAGATTAGATCAAACAGATGGGACTACAAGAGTGGCTCTTGTCACTTAGATGAGCTACTGTTCTGCAGAACTCCCAGGGACACCCCTATGAAGAAAGGAAGGAAAAAGAGACAGAATAGCCACACCAATGGCCTCATGCAGATTAGACTCAGAGTGAAGAATCCATGGAAGTGATTCGGCCCCACAGCCCTTTCTGCCCCCGGAAGAGACTGGAGCATGAGGGGAGAGACCTGGTCACACGTTAACCCCCCGGATGGCTGCAAACTCCAGGACCCCCAGAGCAAACCAGGTAAGACACTGGAGGAGCTTTTAGACATACTCAGACAATTGTCTGAGTTCATTGTCTTCAAGTTCAAGAACTATGCCCACAAATCAAAACCAGCCATTTGGCAATGTTTTATCCCCATGATTCTAGTTTTACATTGAATACTCTGGAAGAACTTAACACATAAACAGCTGGAAAAGACAGGGCTCTCAGTGGGGTTTTCAGCAGCCTGGCACACGCCAGAATGTTGCAACCTACACTATTTAATAGTTAAGAATGCACTTTGTTCAAAGCACTTTAGTAAGTGGCTGCAACATACCAGTTCTACCTCTAGAGGTCAACCTAGCACCAGAAGTCAAAATATTTCCATCGTAACTTCAATGAAGTTAAATTTTTATTTAAAACTGGAGAAAATAAAGTGTTAACAATTATCACTGTACGGCAAAATATGGGTGGTTTTAATTTCTTCATATTTATACTTTTGAAGTTTTATTCAAGAGGAGCATTTATTAATTAAAAAAGATAAAAGACAATGGAGAAGTGGGAACCCTTGTATACTACCATGGGATTATAACATGTGCAGCTGCTATGGAAAACATTATAGTGCTTCCTAAAAAAATTAAAAATGGAATTACTATATGACCCAGCAATCCCCCTTCTGGGTATATATTCGGAGGAAATGAAAGCAGGGACTTAGAAGAGATATCTGTACATCCATGTTTACAGCAGCATTATGCACAAGAGCCAAAAGGTAGAAGCAATTCAAATGCCCACCAGTGGATGAAAGGATAAACGAAATGTGGTGTGTACATACAATGGAAAATTATTCAGCCTTTAAAAGGAAGGAAATCCTTTCACATGCTACAATATGGATGAATCTTAAGGACATAATGCTAAGTGAAATAAACCCGTCACAAAAACACAGATATAGGATTCCACTTATGTGAGACGTCTAAAGTATCCAAATTCACAGAAAAAAAAAGTAAAATAGTGGTTGCCAGGGGCTGGGAGGAGGGAAAATGGGAAGTTGTTGTTCAATGGGTACAGAGTTTCAATGTCGGAGGAGAAGTTCTGGAGATTTGCTGCACAACAATGTGAATGTACTTAACACTACTGAACTATACACAGTTAAAATGGTTTTTAAAAAAGTAAATTTTGT